GATAGGGAGGATAAAGTAGTCTTTGATGTATTTCCACTGTAATCTGTGGCACTGCAGACCAGCAAACACTCGCTGAGTGCACGTGTGGAATGTGATGCTGAAAAATCAGGAGTTTAAGGAGTTAGAGTAGCATCATTGAGAAATGTAAAGTTCTGCCCTGTCTATACTGCTCACATCACTCATGTCTTGCCTGATGTGTGGACAGGTATATGAATTCCTGATAGGACTTTCCTTTTCTGGAGAATAGACAGCACTGACTGTTTGGGCTGGGAGAATTAAAACTTAAAAATCCAGCTGTACCAATGTATTTAAGTAAACTAATTGCTCTGTTCATTAAGCTTAACAAGATCTATTTGCCTTACAGGACCTGGAGAGGATCATGCATTGTGATAGATCCACAGCTCTGTAGGGTGTTTTAAGTCACCAAGAGCATCCTACTCCTCCTGGGAAACACCACTGATACTGGACCAGTGCAGCACCATGGGTCACTCAAGATGTTTCCAGACCAACATCTTCCTGAGAGGTCATTTCCTTGGTGGCTTGAGGGAAGTCCATGCCCTTGTTGGAGCTCAGTGGAGCTCAGCTGCCTGTGGATAGGTGCAGAAGGAATGTCAGTGAGCCAGAGCCCTTCCAGCTCTCCCTAGCTCCAGCTCAGCAGTTGGTGTGTTGATGCTGTAACCATCAAGGTGCTGAACACAGCAGGGAACAGATGTCTCCACCAATACTCTTGGTAAGTGCTTTCAACATTTCCCTATAGCAACTGGAGCCCAATGAGGTTGTAATTCCCCATCCTACTGTTTTCCTGAAAAAAAGTTTGATAGCATCTTGAGTGCAACTGCTAAATTTTTGTGAGCCTTTTGTCCCTGAGAGGCCTCAGCAAACCTGAGCTCATGCTCAGAGTCCCCAGCTGCAGTAGCAACCTGACTTAGCTCTGAGCTCCTGCCTTGGTATAAAGTTGGGTAGGAAGATAAAGAGGTTTTTTTCTAATGCTTAATAGTATTGTCAGGACTTTGTTTCTCTAGAATCTGCTTTGATGGTGTGTGATGGGTAGAAATAACCATGGGTGGTGGGGGATGAGGTACCTGGATGGAACACTGAGCTGCTGGCACTGCTTGGCAGCACAGCTCAAACCATCACTAGTGCAGCAAAAAAACCTGGCACAGCTTCTC